CCTCTTGTGAGGAACGGTATCGAAAGCCTTCGCGAAATCTAAATAGACGATGTCCACGAGATTCCCTTTATCCCACTCTTCCTTCCCCCAGTCGTAGAATTCGAGCAAATTGGTGAGACAATTTCGACGCCTCCTAAATCCGTGTTGAGAGTCCTGAATGACCGCGTTTCCTTCGAGGAAGTCCAAGAGATGTAGTATGTTCTCATTGATCTTCCCTGGGATACTCGTGAGACTTATCGGCTTGTAATTTCCTGGATGACTCTTTTCGCCTTTCTTAAGGATCGGTACGACGTTTGCTTGTCTCCACTCCTTAGGTACTTCCCTGCTCGAAAACCTGCTTTAGAATATAATACTTAGCGGAACCGATATTTCTCTCGCGGTTTCCTTAATGACTCTCCCAGGAATCCCATCGGGGCCGGTCTCCTTGCCCACCTTTAACTTCCCTATCGTATTCACGATCGTCTCCTCGGTGATGGAAACATCCTCGATGCGCGCCGAGGTCACCTCCTCCAAAGTCGGTGCCGAGGCGGATTCCACAGTGAAAACGGAAGCGAAGAACTCGATAAGTATACTGGCCATATCCTTATCACTAGCAATCAACTCCCTCTTTTCGTTCATTAGCGGCCCGTTCGACTGTTGATACCTACCACTAGCATACCGATAAAAAGCCCTAGGGTTCTTCTTAGCATCGCTAGCGAGCCGTTCCTCGACCTCCCGTCTCGAAGATCTAATTTCCCGCATCAACGTCCGCGTGATCCTCCTATATGCCTCATAGTCCGTGCTATCTCCCGTTCGCTTGTACGCATCTCATTTCCTCTTTTTATCCCTGATAAGAGTTTTGATTTCACCCGTAAACCAGACCGGCTGCCTGACCGATTTTATGGATTTCTTGGGGATGCATTCCTCCATAAAGCCCTGCAATAATGTCTTGAACGCCCCCCTTTGCTCCTCTACCGTCAGCCCACGGAGCCGCACCTCCCAGTCGATAGCTGAAACGCATTCACGTAGTCTCTCGAAATTTCCCTTCTTATAGTTTTACGAAACCTTCCTCGGTTTGGCGTTATTCTTCGTCCGCTTGATATTGCACGTGATCGCGCAGTGGTCCGAATCTCCCAATTTATCCTGTACTTTAACGTCTAGAGCCAGATCGTCGTTCGTCGCAAAAATTAAATCCAATAAAGCTTCCTCGCGAGTCGGTTCGTTTACATTCTGAACGACAAGAGCGTCCTGAACCGCAACAAGAAATTCCCTATCCCTTTCGCACCCTCCTCGCGCACCGACCAATCTATTTTTGGCATGTTAAAGTCTCAGAAGAACAATACCTGCTAAATGATCTCGCCGATCCTACGCATGAGTGCAAAATGAGCTGCTTCATCCTCGAGAGAAGAGTTAGGGGTCCTATAGCAAATTCCTATCACGATCTTCCCAGTTGCCCCACCGATCTCTCTTCCCAGGTGCCCCACCGATCTCGCACCATAAGTGTTCGATTGCTCCAGAGTCTTCTCTGACGCAAACGCCCAGTTTGGTTTTAGCTTACAACACGACTCCTCCCCCCTTTCTGCCGAGCCTATCCTTCCACAAGATGTCGTACCCTTCGATCTCGAATTAATTATCCGAAATGTGAGAACCACCCCAAGTCTCGGTTATTCCGATGACATCGAAATCGTTGTCCAGTGCCGGCCACCTGAGCTCGTCTATTTTATTACGTAACCTGCGTGCATTCGCATAGAAACACTTGACTCTTCCCTGCCTTTCCTGCACACTGGCTGTCTAAAGCTGCTCATAGTGCCTGTCCCTTGCTTGTGATCCCTTGCCCCCCCCATCAACTACCCTAAAAAAGGCTAATTTTCCTTTATGATTGCCAATCCGACTGCTGCAGCTTTCTCTTTCGAAAAATGTACTCCATCCCTAGCCATCGGACTTCTACAGAGACTCAAAGCCTACCTAGTGTCCTGAAACAATGCCCCCTCCGCGATACATAACTCCTTTAACCTTTCGTTAACCCCTTCCGACCTGGACCACGTGATTCCTCCCTTGTCTAGCCTGCTCGGGATCGCGCATACCGTCACCCGCACCCCTGACCTTGCCTCCCGATTTAACCTTTCGTTAACACCTTCCGACCTGGACCACGTGATTCCTCCCTTGTCTAGCCTGCTCGGGATCGCGCATACCGTCACCCGCACCCCTGACCTTGCCTCCCGAGATGCCCTAATAGCCTGCCTCAGCTTGCCCATGATTAGTTCAGAGCTAGACTTGGGAGTATCGTTGGTCCCTACGTGAAGGACCACTGACACTTCCTCGGCCGACTCGGAGCATCCCTATCCCTAATGTGTTCAATCCTAGCACCGGGAAACTCACTGAAAGAAACCTGAGCTCCTGAATCTTTTTCCATCGCTCCCTCAGGGCGCCTGACGTTCGAGTCACCGAGGGCTACAAGGGCCCGAGTTTTCCCTCTCCCTTTCAGCACGGCCTGAGCTTGTTCTGCCGACCTCACACCTGTTCCCACCCCGCCCTCCGTTCCGTCATCTAAGCTGACCTCCCTCAACCCGAGAAACTTATTGTCGGTCTTAATGACTGCCTCCTGGGCTTGCTTAACCTTTGCCCCCTTTAAGACCTGAGCCCAATCACTAGCTACCTGGGAGTCGGCACTCGACGCGCTGTCAAAGGACGAAAGAGCCACCCTCCCAGTAAAGTCCGGAAGGCTGGGGAACCGCCGGAGTGCCTCCTCCACCCTAACTAGCCTCGCCACTAAATCATCCCTCTATACCTCGCCCACCTCCTTCCTGATCCCTCTTATCCCCTCCTCCACACTAATGAGCCTTCCCGATAGCTCCCCTAGTCTGCTAGTTTACTGGAACTGTCCTGGTTTGGATTTTCCATTCTGGTGTTCAAGTTTTTCCACATTGTAAAGTCTAACACTTTGGCATTTTCCTGAAAAAAAATAGGATAACCTTAATGAAAGCTTGAGCTTCCCCAGAGCTGCCACACCTATGAGGGGTGCCCAATAAGTTCTCTGCCTGATCATGATGCATTGACATGTCAACATTTATTTTATTATCATATTTCAACATCCTTAATAACAATACTATTCTCCCATCGCTCCATTAGCATTTCCATGCTGGTCTTCAATCACTCTTTCTTGAGCTCCTTGAATCACCCTTCAGTTCTGCACTTCTTTTTATTGTCTTCCTAAAATCTAATCTTGTGCAGGTGTTCTTTGAAATATTGAAACAGATGAAAATTACGCTGTTTACTAGGTTGGGTGAATAAGGTGGGTGCAGCAATTATTCTTGGGAACATGGAGGGCGACCTGTGCAACATGTAGTTCATTGCTGTGAGGAAAACATTTGTACATGCAATGAAATCATCCCATCTGCAACTTAACTGAATCTGCCTCATACTCCCAAAAAATGACTACTCAGTTAAGGGGCATGAATTTAGGGATGCATCTGTACATAAAAATTAGCATGCATAGAAGTTGGAAAGGTTAAATGAAGTGAAACTGAATATCCCCACATGTTTTTATTTTTTTATACAGTGCATGAGGGTGGAACTGATGACAGCAGAGCAGTGGTGAAAAAGTTGAGTGTGGAGAAAGTGTTGGGAGTGCTTCCTGCTGCCTCTGGCATCACCAATGCCACTCTGCTTGAATCATCTCATTTTGCCTTATCTGAGGAGCTCCTCCCAAGGATTTCACTCACTCTCACAAAGTGTGAAGGGAAGCTGGAAGCGATTGAAAAACTTTTGAATGAGCCTGATGTGACGGCATTGGAGATATACATCCAGGTGATTGCGAGCTGCCTGCGACCATTGCGGCTGTTGCAAAGGAACATGTCTTCTATGGATGAAGTTGAAGAAAGTCTGAGGGAGATCCACACCTCCCTTGACAGAATCATCTCTGATTGGGAGGAAGTGTCATACAAGTCAGACAAGGAGGAGATGAAGCAAAGCCTCCAATCCTTCCAGGAAGGAGTGAAAGAATTAAAGGATCAGGTCCTTAGATTTGATGACCATTCCAGCCATGAGGAGGTGGAGGAACAAGAAGATATAATCTCTGTCAGGTAAGAATGCATGACAATATTGGTCTCACTTGCAGGCATTTGCTTTAGACATTCCTTATTTATTTATTGTAGAAGTCAGAAAGCACTTTTAAATGCTTCATTTTGAATTTGTATGTAGTGTACGTGTATGTGTTTTGCGTGATTTGTCCAACTGTGCATTGCACAAGTTTTTGCTAAGAACTCATTTGTAGAACTTTGCATAAAACACTGGATGCTTGCATATTATGAGCTTGATAGAAAATAGTGGGAAAATAGTTATCAACTCATTGCTAAGTGGCATATTGTGGACTTCAGAAAACTGTCACTTTCCATGAAATTGAGTCCATTATCTTCACTAGTTAATCTAGGGATGAGTATAATGGAGTGTCATTCACTCTGAATGAGTCACTTGAGTATTATATATAGCATTGCAACATAATACAAGTGTTGGCCATGTAACCATGTTGGCCATGTAAGTGTTGGCCATATAACCTCACCCAGCAGTGTTGTCTTCATGAAGACAGCACTTGCAGCCAATGGGTTAAAAAGTTGCCTGAATTGTGATAGTTTCAGTTATAAGAATATTTTTGATTATTGAATAAACTTCGTTGACCCCTAGAATATTCCTTTGTGTGGACTCAGCTGTATTTAGCATTCTTGTGTGCCTTGTCTATTTCTTGTTCTGAACTGAGATGGCTTATCATTCATTCCAGGAATGAAGAAGGATTGGAAAAGGGGAAGAAAAGGAAAGGGAAGGACCTTTCCCTTTCTGCTAGGGAGAGGGAGAAAGTGGCCAAGATGAAGATGGAGTCATTAGAGAGGGCAGGCAAAGAAGTCAATCTGGCTAGGAATCTCAAATCTTACCTGGAAGTCTGTGTAAGTCCCAAACTTACCTTGTGTGTGGCATAACATTGCCCCATGTAAATCATGGATCCTTGAGACTAACTCTCAAGAGCCCTTTATGATTTAGGTTGACTGTTAAAACTCTCAAGATTCTACTGTTATTATCTCAATTACCTAAAATTTTATTGCAATTTCTTAGTATCACTTAGGCAAAAATAAAATAAAATGATTTCTATTGTCCCATTAGGGAGAATCCAAATTGCTTTGTCCTTGTCTATTTTCATTTATAGCTTTGCTTCAAAGGAAGGATAAAGTAACTATATATTTATTTATCTTTCATTGATTAATTTTCTTCACTGTCCAGAATCACAATTAACTAGGACCGTTCCAATGTATTGGCAACCATTGGTATCAGCTGCTGGTGTTGCCACATCAGCCTTCAGCAGGATTGCAAGCAGCCAATGCTGGTGCCCAAAGTAGGGGCAAAAAGCAACAAAAAAGTGAGCATGTGAACTTTGCTAGGCACTAGCCCTCATGTCTCACTGAAAACCACTCTTGCAGACCTCTCCCAAACAAAAACATCAATCAGATTTTATTGCAGCCTGAATGATGGAACTGGCAGAGCAGTAAAGAACAGGAAGTCATTGCACTTCCTTTCATGTTGTGCTTTTGCAAGATGTCATTAAATGCTCGTAGAGGGGACCCATTAGTAACAAGCTAACCACTGACAGACACATAGACAGACAGACAGACAGACAGGATGGACAGGCCTAAAAGTGATTATCATTTTAACCCTTTGAAAAGTATGCCTGTATATTTACAGGTAGCACCAGTGTGCCCACCAGAGTGTGCTCAACCGTATGCCGTATATTTACGAGTTGAGTTTTTTGTGCACTTTAGTATGCCTGTATATTTACAGTTCAGTTTAAAACATTCATGTCAGCTTCTGCTGTGCATCTGCAAGTCAATGAACTTCAATAAGTAACACTAGGCCTCAATTTAGGTGATGAAATGCATTTATTTACACAGTTCCTGGTCAATTCCCCGACGGTCAATTCCCCGACGGTCAATTCCCCGACGGTCAATTCCCCGACGGTCAATTCCCCGACGGTCAATTCCCCGACGGTCAATTCCCCGACGGTCAATTCCCCGATGGTCAATTCCCCGACGGTCAATTCCCCGATGGTCAATTCCCCAAAAGGACAGTTCCCCGAATGACAAATTCCCCAAATGGTCAGTTCCCAATTTGGAATTTCTCCAAAGGAAATGGATTTGTTCCCATTTAAGTTCCCTGTCTCGCACATCAAGCATGGGGGAGTGAGGGTGGGGGGGGATGTGGCCACCCCCCAACCAAGCTGGAAGCAAAGAGAGGAGGGTCTAGGCAAACGGAAGGAAAGGGGAAAGTCGCTTATCTTCTCTTATCCTGGAGGGGAGGAAATCATTAAATTCTTCACCTCCCACCTAAGGAAACTTTGTTCCTTTAGGGAACATGACTGCCGATACAATGCTAGTCAGATCGTTGATAAAGAGGGAAAAGGGAAAGTGAAAAAGATGAAAAAGGCAACACAAACATTTGTAAGATAATCCTCTTGGCTGCCAGAGATGAGACATTCAATAAGATGTCTATCAAAATCTAAAACACAGCTATATATGGAGAAGTTGGGTGGCTTAGGAATCAGATCATTAAGTGGTGAGTTCTTGGACAGTGTGAGAGTTTGTGTATTCCTGGAGTTCGTGAAGAGTGAAAAGGGCAAGGATCTTCTTGTTCTTGAGGGCTATCTACTCACACAGAAAAAGATGAGCAAGGATGGACAAAGAATGTATTGGGAGTGCCTCTATAGAAGATACAAAGGAAACTGCAATTTCAGAGCTACAACTGAAGGAGAGCAGTATGTCAGCAGGTGAGGGCAACATCGTCATGCTCCAACCTGGAAAATTACAAGCCCCACAAGGTGATCGCAAACATCGTGAATGAGACAAACAAGGGCGTGACCTATAAATAGACCCCTAGACATGAAGGATATGGATGTGGTCGATAGCCCTCCTTCCATGACCATGAGATCAGAAAACCGTGATCGGGGAACTGACCATTCGGGGATTTTGTCATTTGGAGAATTGACTGGACACCCCTGACACCATTTACACAGGGTATAGCTAATCAGTGAGCTGTTAGCCATGGCATCAATAAAAAAGCAAACGTACGACAATAGCAGCAATCCAAGGGAGGATTAAAAGTAATTTCCCAACATTGGGTATACATTGTTCGTACAGAAGAGGGTATGTGATGAGCAATGAGGGATCTAGATTGGATACAATTTGATAAGGATTTCAAGATGATCCATATACCTGGCGGGTATGGTGGAAGATGATCCTTACCCATAACTTTTATTTGCATTTGGAAACACAAAACATGGGCAATGTGTTTTTATTGGACAGAATTTTGTGGAATTGATAGTTGAAAAAGGTGAATGGTAGATTTTGGGTGTCTACCTCAGCAATTATTACAGAATTAAGATTAAAATTGACACAAATCAGTACTGTCTCTATCAAATTCATTTAATGGATCACTCAAAAGTTAAATTAAACCTGATATTTTAATTTGATCAAATTCCAATAAATCTATGCAAATGTTGCAACTGAACCTTTCTAAACATACTTCAGAACATGTTTTAAAAATAAAAAAAGGTTTTATCCTGGACATTGCCTCTAAAACATCAAACTATTATAGAAAAGCCTCAGTCACCAAAAAAACTCACTCCTGAGGGCAAGGCATGTGCTCCAAAACTCACTCCTCAACAGGTTAAGGAGAAAGCCACCAATAAGTATTGCAGGGCTGCCAAATAGACCTACTTGAATTTGTATGCAATATCATGTTTTCTTAATCTACAGATCACAATCAGCACCAGCTCTGGCTGATAGTTATCAGATCAAAATCGGCCATCAACCCACCAGCCAAATGTGACCATTGGTACAGCCCTACAATTAACCATTTGTTGCATCATATCCATGGGTGTGTGGACATGGCTTCTGATGTATTCCAGATCAAGCCTCATTGGTTGGCATGGCAGACCACATATGATTTTATGCAGAAAGTTATGATCATGAATGTAGAGACCATATTCTAGTGGAAGTTGCTTGTATTGAGGCTTTAGACATTAATTTGATATGGTTGCACTAACCTTGACATCATGCAACAAAGGGTTAATGCTGCCCCAGGATTGTCTTCTAGTGTTCCTGGCCCTGAGCAACTAGCTCAAGCTCACAAGCTCACAAGCCTTTCAAATCTAGGCTTCACAATGTAGTCACTGCACCTTGAATGAAGTTTGCCAACAGAATTTCTGCATCATATTGATCTGAAGAACTCTTGGGAGTCTCCCAGGGAAGCATTTGACTGATGTGTCTAAACCACTGAACTCTTCCTCTCAATCCCAAGCTCTCAGTCATATTGCCCACCACTCAATAACCAGAACTGATGACACACTTTGCCACCTCTTCCAATGTGGTCCTATTGATATGCATGGTGCACTGCATGGAGTTTCTTACGAGAAAAACAACTTGGGTTTTGGAGACACTGCGTTTCATTCCATCTGTTACTTGGAGTCAATGTGATCCAATATTCTTAGAAGCTCCTGTCTGGATTGTACCTAAAGGATTCCATCATCAGCAAAGAGAAGCATTTTCAACAACCTCAACATTGCTGATATTGATCCCCTTCAGGACTGGACTATACTGACTAATCCTGTCCTTGTACATGAGGAACAGGTCAGGAGAGAGTTCAATACTGGGAGTGCCAAGTATATACACTGAAGGAGTTCACACTCATGCTCACCTGAACACATCTCTTGTCACCACTGTATAAGGGCTGAATGACCATTGATCCTGCAATACTTCCCAGTGTCCCTTGAAGTGAACTGTTGTGCTTGGAGGAAATTTTGTGCAGAAGAATGAAGAGTTCCCCAGTTTGGAAAAAATATGTGCATTAAGTGCTTCAGGGTTCTGAGCTGCATAGTGGATTTCAAACTGCAGGTGCCTATGGATTGGAAAACCAGTGTGATGGTTCCCCTTTTGAAGAAGGGGGACTTGAGAGAGTACACCAACTTACCATGGAATCGCATACCTTAGAATACCTGGTAGGTCTATGCCAAGGTACTAGAGAGGAGGACTCTCATCAATCAGAGAAGTCACCCAAAAGGAACAGAGGGAATTTCATGGAGGGTGCAACACCATTGATCAGCTCCTTACACATGATTCTTGGGAGGTATTGGGAGTATACCAATGCAGTTTTAATGCCTTTGTTTTAAACCCTGGTAGGGTGTACAACCATATGCTTTGAGGAAAGGTGTGAGGAGTACTCCCTATGTTTGAAAGAGTGAGATTGATGAAAAATTATTTCTCTGTGTGGTAGGGCATCACAAGGGTTTCATTCTCTCTCTTTTTTGGTTCTCGTGTACAATGGCAGAAAATATTGGTGCACAGCAAAGATGGTATTGTGGTAAAGGGACAAAGGGACTTCATCTTTGCTGATGATGCTGTCCTTTTGCCTCAGTTTTGACAGGCGTCTCAGAACATTCTTGATAAGTTCAATTCTGAATGTACTCAGATCAGAATGCAATTCAGTGTTCCTAAAACCCAGGTTATGCCCAAAAACTGTGCATCCTACATATTTGGTGTGTCCCACTGGAACAAGGGAAGTTTAAGTAATTGTGGCTCTTGTTCTCAAGTGTTGGGCAAAATGGAAACAACATTGACAGTCACACCTCCTGGGCTTCTGAAGTTTTGTGGGGACTCTTATGTACCATGATTGCCAAACCTAAAATCTCCCAGGAGATATAAGAAGACTTTCTGGTTTTTAGGAGTGTTTGCCTCTCAACCCTCACCTGTGGCCTTGAATTATGGATAATGACCTAAAGAATCAGGTCATGGATGCAAGCTGCTAAAATGGGGTAGCTGGCAGGAGGCTAGTGTTATCTGTTGATGGAGGATCCATTGCTGTCATCTGTGAGAACCTTCAGGTCAAGTAGGTACTTTTTAGGATTAAGATATCTCAAGCCCAGTGGTTAGGACACGTACCTTGAGAGATTCACAAAAAAGAGATTCGCATTCCAAAATGACCTGCTAAAAATCAGTTGGTAGGACTCTTACGAGGTAGAATGACTACAGGGTGTCCCAGGAACCTTGCCTCAAGTGTTGTACATCATTATGTCTTTATTTCTTTTCTGATGGAAATGAGTTTTGTATCATTATAAAGCCTAGACCTTTCTTGACAGCTGCTGTTATGGTTTGTGATTACTGGTTGTGGTTTTTTGCAAATGGTGCTGATGAGGTCAGGGATGTTAGGGGTTTTGTAGCATACATCTTCTTAATCAAAAATCCCCACCACCAGAAACAAACCATCTTCATATCTTTCATCAAAGTCATGATTTAATACTGCACCTGCAAAAAAGACTTCAGAGAAATTCATGTAATTCCCTTTGAGTAGAGACTTTTTGGATGCCCTGTTTGTCTTGATGAGACAAGTTTTAATAATTGCATATTGGTGTGTGATGCAGATCCACATTGGGAAGGCAGGGAAAGCAAAGTCAACATTGGTCCATTATGTGAACAAGGCAAAAGTGGATCCTCATGCAATTCCAATCAGAGGTGTTCAACTCTTCAATATTGTTCTTCATGCTCTGGCTTCCAAGGTAAGTATGGTTATTACATATTCTTTGATGGCTATTGAGCAGAAATGCAGCCTCATATGATTGGAGTGCAATTTTTTTTCCCATGAAGGTGTATTAACCTAAGAAGGATCCATCCATGTCATCCATGCTAAAACTCACTTTTTATTAACCCTTTGCAGTCCTATGTCAGACCATGTCCAACATTGCAAAAAATCCCTTTCCTGTCCTGTGTTGGACCCTGTCTGACATCACTTACAGTGCCTCTTTCACTTTTTCACTGGCATGTTTTCAGGCACAAATTGTTACCCCAGTGCACAGTGGGACAGAAGGGCATCTTCCTGGCGAAAATTAAAAAATAGAATTTGGAAGAAATATGGAAGGCAAAAAAATTAATTCCTAATTTTCTGTTTATTACTTCCTGGAATCACCCAAAATATTGAATTATACAAAGAACACCATTCCAAATGATCTCATAGTGACTTCTCATCACATCGATTAGAAGTCAGCAATACAAGAAAAGTAGTGAGAGGGATATTGTTGAAGCAGCGTGAAATCTTACTCTCTTGTTGAATCAATAATCATGCAGCAGTTTTCACATGCCTGGTGAAATCCCAGCATTGTGTACCAGAAATGCCCAAAACTTCATTGCACTCGATCACAAGGTGATGCGATGAGAAGCCAGCGATATGAGATCAGAGTTCATGTATACATCCGATGTTTTGGGCGATTCCTGAAAGTAATCAACAGAACATTAGGAATGAATTTTTTGTATTCCATATTTCTTATGAGTCACCAGCTGATGCTACACTGCTTATCCACTTGAGTCAAGAACTCTTCATATGCCTGGAATATCCATACATGAGCAAGAAAACTTCATAGATACTGCATGATATCTGACTCCTGTTGTCAAAGTAGCAAAAAGTAGCTGCTAGTTTTCATATGGCTGCTAAAATACTAACGTTAGATCCCAGCAATGCCAAAATCTCCACCGCACTTGATCACCTTTTTTTTGCAGTGTACAATAAATATGGTGGAGCAGTAATTGAAAATTAGTGTTAAGAAAAATAGGCATTGTGCTTGTAATAATGTAACTTAGAATATCATATCATGCACCATGAAAGTACTTATTCATTGAAGGCTCCCTCAAGTCTGAACAGATCAATCACAGTTTTATTTTTGGGACAAGTCGGTTTCTTCCTAGCCTGAAGAAATTAGGGCATGGAGAGATAGTCAGATTTTCATTGAGTTTACAGCACTCTATCTAGAAAAAGGCTTCAGTTTTCTTTAAAGTAATAGCAATTTTCTGAAGTTCAGTTATTTGGTAATAGATGGGTAAAGTATCAGAATTATGCAAAAAAATTCTATTTTTTCAATTTTGGCCAGGAAAATGCCCTTTTCCCCACTGTGCACTGGGGTAACAATTTGTGTCTGAAAACATGCCAGTGAAAGGGTTAAAGAGGCACTGTAAACGATGGACAGTGTCTGACATTGGACCACAAAGGGTTGAACTTCTTGGGTTGTTCTTTCTTATTTTTCCATTAAAATAAATTGGACCTGAGGAGCCAGACAGCGTCCGAATAAATGGACCGCAAAGGGTTAAAGGTCCATAAGTGAGAGTTTGGGATTTGTGATGTGAATGCTCTTGGTTTAGGGTTTTAATTAACCCTTTCACTGCTGTTCATGCCATATGGTGACGAACCTCCACTGGCTCATTTGGTTGGGAGAGGTTGGCTGGACATTTAAATCCTCGGCAGTCAAAAGGTTAAAACGTTGTCCTCTTCACTCAAACCCATTCTCACAATTCATCTCTCAAATCACACTGGTCCTAATGAAGAGCAGTGTTTGCTAGACTGATGCACAGGTGCTGGTTGCAAACAGGATGGGTTTCACACACCACTAACCAGATGACAGCTTAGAAAATTTTTTTGTTGTAGTGGGGATTGACAGGCAACAGCTGAAGGTCACATCTGAGACTTTTTTTTATAGCCGAAGCTTTTCGGTTTTAATCCTCAGGTTTAATCTTCACCACAGGCATCTGTGTGGGAGAAGGGAGAAGCAGAAAGAAAAAAAACAAAAGAGCATCCTCCTGAACAGGTTTCTTGTCATTCATTTTATTAAAAAATCGAAAAGTCCCATGAGAAGAATTTTTCCCCCCTTCTCACCCTGAATTCGAGTTAACTGAGAAAATCATTATAGGGAGTGAAATTTTCATTCGAGATAAGCGAATTTGAGTTAAACAGAGCTTTTAACATGGTGTCCTAAGGGATTCTGCCATGACCAAGCATTGAACTTCAAGATAAGCGGAATTTAGACTTTTCAGGATTCGAGTTAACAAGTTTTCACTGTACCAGGTGAACACAAATTCGATAGGAGATTCAAAAAAAAAAATCATAGTATCCTCGTGCAGTCAAAAGGATCTGACAACTTTTGCACATTTGTTGCTGTGTGTAGAAGATGATGGACATTTTGAAAGGAAAACTTTGGAGTGTGTTGGTGAAGTGTTTGTTGGTTATGCTATATGAAATTCATACATTTTTGTCATCAATGCAATTTATATGTAGTTGATATATGTTTTAATTTCTGTGATTTTAAAAATCATAAAGTAAGACAATTAGAGTTATACTTGCTATGGACATGATATGAAAAAAATAGAAGCATGGAATGAAGTATACTGGTATGGCATGTAAACAACACAAATCAATAGGGAGATGAAGGAGCGTTTGATGATTTCCATTCCTGCTATGTGTGAAGTGAAAAAAATGTAAACTGAGTAAGGACATTTTCTAATTTATCTTCATTTTAGGGGGATGTGGATGGGGTGAGGGAGGTGATGCAAATGATGGCTGAAGAGAAGATCTCCCTGACTGAGGAGACTTTTATTGCTGCCCTCCTCAGCATAGCAGTGAAGAACCCCAAGAACAAGTTAGAACAAGTGACAGAGATTTTGGACCACATGCACCGTCATGTATGATCCATTTTCTAATTCCTCTTCCCTGCTTCCTGAGTAATATGGACTAGGACATGATGGTATAGGGTTTGGATGTGGAAGCCCTCTTTCAAGATCACAAGTTGATGGTGGAAGACCAGGAAAGGATACTGGAAGCAATTTGTTGTGTAAGACCAGGGTTCCATCCACTGACAGGGACACAGGACAAGTCCTACTCTTGTCAGCTCCTTCATACTCTGAACAACCCATCTCATAAACTGGTTTGTGCTTACATCCATGTATCCAGAAGGGCAGGAAGTCAAAGTGTTTATGAGATGCAAGTCTTCTGAAAACTAACAAGAAAGTTATATTTCCTATATTTACATTCAGTTGCTTTTATTTGACACTCTAGGTTTTTGCATCTGTCATATGTTACTGTGAGAGTTAGTCATTATGGTTTTTTTTTTTCTCAGATACTATAAGAAAAAGAAACAGTAGGTGAACAAGTCTAATTATGTCATAAACTTCTATCATTTATCACTTCACATGGTGACCCTAAAGCTGGATTAATTTTTCCTAGTGTGAAATAAGCCCAGAGATACCGCCTATTACACCCTCATTTACCAGGCCCCTTCATGACCTCATTGATACTCTTCAAGGTGGGACGTGATTTTAGAGACTCCCTTTGTAGAAGATATGAACCGCTGATGGGAATTTTTTACACACCATGACTATGAGGTCTGATCAAAAAGTTCCAGTACTTTCTTGTTAAAAAATAAACTGCTTTAGGTACGGGGCTAGGACTAGTGTAGGTGGGAGTGGGGGGGTAGCTGCACGCATGTTGAAGCCTCCTTTGCACTAGGATTAACCAGTCACGAATCACAGGTGTTGAAATCCAGTCGTCTCTTTGCTCTTCATCGAATTTTCGATCATGCATCATGATCCTGATGCATCATGAGTTTGTTCCACAAGGTCAGACAGTCACCCAGACTTACTACAAAAATGTTTTGACCTGTATGCAAGAAAAAATTAGAAGTAAACGGCCCCAACTTTTCCAAAATGAAGCCTGGTTTTTGCATCACGGCAATGATCCAGCCCACAATACTCTTACAATTCGAGGGTTTTGGGCTAAAAAAAAAATTCCTGTGTTGCCCCACCCTCCTTATTCACCAGACCTGGCTCCATGTGACTTTTTCCTGTTCCCCGATATTAAATTTCACCTGAAAGGAAAAAGATTTGAAGACATTGCAAGCATCAAGGAAAATGCTATGAGGCAGCTTAAGAGTCTTACACTCCAGGACTTCCAGCACTGCTTCCAGAAGTTGCAGGAGCATTGGGATATGTGCATAGCATCGAGGGGGACAACAATTAATTTTAATGTACTTATTAAAAATCAAGTTTATGAATAAAAGTACTGGAACTTTTTGATCAGACCTTGTAAGTGATATCTCAAGAAAATAGACATGCATTAAAAGGTCTGTTCGACACTATCCTGTCTTCCAGGGTAGAATTTCAGCAAAGTCCTGAAGAGGTCACTCTCTTCCTCAAATTCTTGAAAAACCTTTTTAAAATGAAACAACAATCTTCCTCTTGAAAATTGACACAAAATGCATCTAAAGCACTATCTGAGCCAATGAATGGCATCTTTAACCAATGTCTGTGACAGAAATATTCTGAAAATATGAAGGTGAAATTCCACTCCAGAAAAAATCCCACCTTAAAGAATCAAAGGCTGCAGATCTGTTGGGTTGCCTTCCCCCTCCCTCAACTGCCTCAAGTACACGATACTAGATGAGCTCCAAGAAACCATTGATCCAATTTCCAGAGATCCAAATCAGTTTGCTTGCTGAAAATCTTGTGGTACATATGATGCAGCTGTGACTCTGCTTCATTATGTAATTCAGGATGACAAAGCATTATTTCTCAACTACACTTTGGCTTCCAATTCCATTAACCAGGGAGGTATCATTTGCAGGCTTATTGCTATGAAGCTTCCAAGAAGCTTGCTTAAACTATTGGTGAACAGAACATCTCTCAGACACCACTCAATATGATGAATTGGGTGAAAGGAAATCCTGTTCAAGTATGGTCACAGGAATAGTTCAGGGTGATGTTCTGCCACCTCAGTTTTATTCGTTTATAACTGAACCACTCAATGCAACTGAATTGAACCATATCATCTTAAAATGTGCAGATTATACAGTCAAGGCATGCCATTAAATTTCTAATATTTATACCAACAAAAAATTGAAAAGTCAGGAGTCAGGAGAGTTAGTGATATCAAGAGGCGATTTCGCCCATTTCGATATCACGTGTCGAGGTCGAGCGTTCCTTAATTTTAGGGTAGGCCTAACCCTCTTAAAGCTAAATATTTTTGTATTTTTTTTTTTTTTT